CCTCCCCCCATCTGGTACCAATGCTTCCTGGACTCCCCTCCCAGGGGAACCACTCAAGTCCTTTTGTGTCTGGGTGGGCTTCTGGGAGACCTCAAATGAAGACAAATAGGGGTTATGTACTCATGTCAGTGGAAGGGTAGTTTAAAAACGTGTAAAGTACATAAAAGTGTTTGGAATGCACTGAGTCGACATCAGCCCTGATCTTTAATCCAGCTGTGTAGCCAAAGGAAACTGTTAGCACATAAAGAAAGAACCAGCTCGTTTTGCCCTTCTTGTACAGAGCAAGGCCCGTTGTGCCACCTCCTGGCTTCTTTGCAGTAGGAATGACCAGGTTCTCCACCGTCCAGGGAAACTCATTTGACTGCTAAGCCTCGTGTCCATCTGCAAAATGAGGATGGCGCTTGTTCCTCATCAAAGGGCTGGAGCAAGGGCTAAGATATAGCTCGGGCATCCGTACAGCCCCTTGTAACAGGAACTGTGCAAACAGACACCCATCAGTATTAGGGATGGCAAACGTTTGCATTTCACAGTTTGAGTTCCCTACAAAAAAGGCCCACCTCTTGCCAAAAAACATTAGCTTCTATTTCTTCTACTTTACTTTCTCGAAAGGATAATCAGAATGCTAGAACTTGAATACACCAAGAGGCGGTATGACCTAACTTCATCTTTTTTTTTTTTTTTTTTTTTGCGTTACGCGGGCCTCTCACTGTTGTGGCCTCTCCCGTTGCGGAGCACAGGCTCCGGACGTGCAGGCTCAGCGGCCATGGCTCGCGGGCCCAGCCGCTCCGCGGCATGTGGGATCTTCCCAGACCAGGGCACGAACCCGCGTCCCCTGCATCGGCAGGCGGACTCTCAACCACTGCGCCACCAGGGAAGCCCGAACTTCATCTTTGATCTTTTGTCAACCAGGTTGCGACCCGCTCCTTTTGGACATCATGTTGTTTAGACTCTGGGTTCGGTTAGAGTCCCCGGAGAATGTTGAATATTATTTTGTTTTATTTTGACAATCGGTCAGGTTCAGAGTGCTACTTCTGTCTTGCCTGCCATGGGTGAGGAGTCGATGGCGGTTCAGAAGTTCCAGGCGGCGATGGTGAGAGAGGTGAGGTGAGGTCACGTGGCCAGAGTCACTGAGAAAGATGGAGACGGGCGGGCTGCCAGGCCGCTTCCTCGCACCCTTTCTAAGACATGCGCCTTCTCTGGACTTCATCTTCTGCGCTCTCGCGTCCCCTACGGCAGCAGTGGGTGAGCAGAAAGTGTTCAGACGAGCTGCTGAGTGATCCTGTCCTGTGATGGTTCCTTGTCTCAAGTCTGACTTTCTCTGGAATCTGTGCCGCTGATCAGAGCGAAGTAACAGAGGTTAGGCTTCTGTCCTCATTCCTAAGAGGGGGGTGATCACTTCACAGCACCAGAAGCCGACACATTTAACTCTTCCTGTAAATCACGGTGTTGGGTCACACCAGGGCAGGGATCTCCAAGCCGATGCTCCTTACTCTTTCCGTCTATGGATGAGCTTTGGGGCCAGTTGATAGGATCTCTATAAATATTTTCAGAAAATGTATTTCCAGTTGGTGATTCAGTTAGCAATTGGTTTCTAATATTCAAACTGTTGTAGCTCAAACAGTTCTCCAGTATCTTCTTGTTTCTATGTTTGTAATTAAACACAAGTGATATAACCAGAGTTCTTGGGTTTGAATCGTCTCTACCCCTCTTGCTACCTGTGTGGCGTCAATCTCCCTGGGGTTCAGTTTCCTCATCTATAAAATAAATCGTCGTCCTTCCACCATGGGTTTGTTGGAGGATCCGAAAAGTCAGTGCATGTAACGTGCCTACAACAGCGTTATTCTTGGGTTTAAAGCCACCAGAGATGGTAGAAAAAAACAGACAGTAGTAATTTATAAGCCACGTTGACCGACGTGTTCTTACCTTTTGTTCTGAGCTAGCCCACATTCTGAAAGATTTTCTGTTCCTTTTGTTTCCTAAAATCATTTTTCCCTCTTGCTACATGAGCAGAACCTTTTTTTCCTATTGGAGAGGACCAGTTGGGTACTGGGTCCCTGTCACTTGGCCTTTTTTTCTATTCATCACGTTTATTAAGGATTTGTGGGGGTAGAGAGGTAGTTAGGAATAAAGTCCTGAAAAAGAATGCAAAGAGACCAGTCTTCCTTATTTCTAAATTACGGCCTTTAAAAAACGTACTAAGTTTGTTTTTTTTCATTTGGGGTTTTAAGGGAGTGGGCACATGGCAATGGGTTGTAGGTTTCAACCCTCCTGGCAGATTTCCACAGCCCCATTTGCTCCTAAGAGCGGAGTTTATGGCACAGAGGCCAACGTCCCTTCCCTGGGGACAAGGATGCGTTGCTCAGGGGACCCACTCAGCCTGCTGATGACGAGCTTTCTGCTCTCGTTCCCGGAACAGCACACAACCTTTTGGAGATGACTTGTGTGCATGCTCTGGCCCAGAGGTGACCAGCCTTGCTCAGAAGTTAAAAGTTGCCCTTGGGGGGGGGGGGTTCAAGGTCTCCAGGTGTTTCCTGTTGGTTTGATTTAACCACATGGTTCTTGAGGTTTAACATATCCACAAAGTGCGCGAATCTCGAGTGCTCAGCTTGACAATTTTCACACCTGTAGCCACCACCCGGATCCAGACATCAACCGTCTCCATCCCCCCAGAAGTGCCCCCCTCGGCCCTGGTTATTCCTAAGGTCGACTGCCATCCTGACCTGTCATCGCAGATTGGTTTTGCCTGCTCTTGAACTTTATGTATAAATGACGTGCTAAAGGAGACACCCTTCTGTGTCTGGCTTCTTTCACACAGATGGTATCTTGCAGACTCAGCCGGTTGTGTCTGAGCAGCAGTGTGCTCTTTCTCACGGAATGAATCTGCTGTTGTCTGAATTCCATTTTCTGAATTCCATTGTGCGAATATATCCTTGCATCCATGCCACTGGGATGGGCCTTGGGTGGTTTCCCATTTGGCACTGTTACGAGTAACACTGCTGCCAACATTCATGTGCATCCTGGTTAATGATTGACGTGACTTTCAACCCCCTTGGTGACCTCGTTCCTGCAGAGAGGTCACCAGGAATGTAGCTTCAGAACCTTTGGATAGAGGAATAAACTGGTGAATGTTTATGAAACACCATGAACTTTAGAACTAAGAAATCATTGACTTTGAAAAGCAGGATGATTGGTTGTATGGCCTCGAGCAAGCCATTAGGCATCTCCAAGCCTCAGTTTCTTCATCTGTAAAAAGGCATAATTGTCGTATTATGCAAAAATAATAGAGGTATTGTAAAAATTAGATGAGATAATGATATAAAGTACTTAGATAGAGCCTAGCCCACCTGAGCCTAGCCTAACATTAAGCCTAGCACTCAATGTTAATTGCTGTGATTGACTTTTCATCATAGTGACCATTTGGGGTGAAGTGAAAGATGCGATATGACTTTATATAAGTTTATTAACACAACATAACCAGTGCAAAGTAATTTGTTATAATGCCAGATGTGAAGTGAAAATGCTGTTCTGTTTTTCTTCTTCATACCCTCTTTTGCTTCAACCTTGATTTCTGCGGGTATGTCTGGTTTAGATTTCTCTCTGTCCCTGATCTTCTAATAATAGGTGATAATTTGGATTCAATGTGATCTCAACTATGTCAGGAATTCCAAAGGCCAGAGAGGTAACTCGGCTATTTCCATGGATCTGTGGGCTTCCAAGATGAAACCACATCCAAGTGTCATATATTAGGTGTGGTTGCTACCCGTGGAGCTTTGATGAGAATGTGAAACATTTGCGATGGAAAAGCGGGTGTGGGAGAAGCAGAGAGCTTCTCACAGTACAGACCATCTTCAGACCAGACCTCCAGATTCATGGTCCTGGTCATTGTACTGTCAGCCAAGAAAGCTACTCCACTGGGCAAAACCATTCCAAGAAAGAGGGAAAACTAATGCCTCCCACACCTAAAGGTGTTTCCTAACTCTGAACGGAAACACACTTCAAGACTTAAAAAATTTTTATTTTGAAGTCATTTCAAACGTACAGAAAAGTTGCAAAAAGGGTATGAAGAAATCACGTCTGCCCTTCACCCGAATTCCCCAGTGTTAATGCTTTGCCACACTTGCCTCATTCCCTGCCTCTCTCTCTGTTTACACACGCGCGTGTGTATACACACACAAACACGCACACACATGCACACATTCTCTTTTATCTAAACCACGAGAGCGGGCTGTAGGCATTGTGTCCCTTGATCCCAAAATACTCAGTGGGTATTTTCTAAAAACAGGGACATCGTGTTACAAAACTGCAGTGAAATTAACTTTCACGGAAGATTCATTCTGTGAAAAAGAGCACACTTCTGCTCCAGACACAGCTGGCTGAGTCTCCAAGAGTCAATCTGTGTGAAAGAAGCCAGATTCACTGTTAACAATGTTATCTAATCTGCAGACTTTATTCAAATCTCATCTAATGCCCCACTCATGTCCTTTATATGTAACAAATGACATAAAGACTTTTTATGGTCCAGAATCCAATCCGAGATACCATGTGTATTTGACTGAATTTTTTTTCGTCAGGAAATATTTTAAGGGAGCTGGAACCCTTGCTATTAGCAAATCCTTCCTTTAACATAACACATTTGCTTAACTGTCCACTGGACCCTCAGTGGAAGGACTGGGTCGAAAGAATGTCTTCTAGAATATTCACCTGTGCTTATGGGTGAGGAGGTGTAAAAGCAGTTAAAGCCAAGTATATTCAATTGTATGGACTGCATGCAGAGAGACTGTAAGACTATTAGGGAAGATGCATTCTTCCTGGCTCTACTGAAGAGAAAAGGTTGGCACGTGAGTGACGTGGCGCTAAATTTTGGCTGGTTGGGTGTGTAGTTCGGACGCGTCTGCCCGATAACCAATGCACTAGGTTGCAGTTGTCCATTCCCAGAAAAGAGACCTTGCACTCCTTCGTTCTTCAGTCAATGGTCACAGTAGCTGTGCTTTCTTTGGCAGATGTGGTATTGGAAAAAGCCATGCACAAGTGCATCTTGAAGCCCCTGAAGGGCCACGTCGAGGCCATGCTGAAGCACTTCCACGTGGCCGACGGCTCATGGAAACAACTCAAGGAGAACTTGCAGCTCGTGCGGCAGAGGAATCCACAGGAGCTGGGCGTCTTCGCCCCCACCCCTGACTTTGTGGACGTGGAGAAAATCAAGGTCAAGTTCATGACCATGCAGAAGATGTATTCACCAGAAAAGAAAGTCATGCTGCTGCTGAGGGTCTGCAAACTCATCTACACCGTCATGGAGAACAACTCAGGTGAGGCCACACCGCCCGGGCTCTTGGCCTCGCGATGGCGCTGGGACACGTCGGGCTTTCTGATTCCCAACTGCTCTTCCTTTCCGTTTCTTGACTTCACCAAGTGGCTCACAAAAATACACGTGTTACTCTGGTGTCTGGCAAATTAGTCCACGTGCAGCAAACAGCACCGAAAAAGTAAGCGGAGGAGGGCAACAAGATTTTTGTACGATGCCAGATTATAAAAGATTTAGTTCAGGGTAGTGGATACAGAGTCAGTCTTGGGAGTCTGAGTTCAGATCCTAGCTCTGCGAATGGGTTCATTAACTGTGGGGCTTTGGCCACCATAATCAACCTTCCAAGCTGCGGTTCTGCACCTGTCGTGGGTATGACCCCATCCTTCCTCCAAAGGTGCAGATTAGATGGGACAACGCATGCATAGCCCCAAGCATGGTGGAAATATTTATGATTATTCCTGTTGTTACTACATTTTGGCCAGTGAGGGTTTGTGTCAGTGATTTACAGCAAACTTGGAGCATTCGGCTATAATGTGGCTTCATCATAGCCATTTCATTGCCTCTCCCTTCTTTGCTCCATACTGATGCAGTGTAGTAGGAGTTCACATAAGTCAGCCCTCGGGTTTCCCCTGCGCTGCTTCTTGTAGGTGCAGGAGTGACCCTGATTCATGGGTAGCGATGAGCCCTACAGTGCTCCAGGTCTTGGGTGAGCCTTTTTAATTCCGTGGATGGTCACAACTTTTCCTCTGCGTGTAATCGCTCGATGCAGAAGCAGCAGAGAGAAAACACGGGCTCTGTTACCCATGGCTGGAGGAGGTTGCCGCGTGCAAGCACTTCGCAGATTGCGAGGCAGAAACGTTAACACACGCGCTCCAGAGCTGGTGATGCTGACGAACAGCACCTCTGCAGTTTTGAAGCATACTTCACACGCAAGAAATGTACTTTCTGTAGTCCGTGAAATCGTTTATAAAACGTCCCCCGAATTATATCTGCACAGGGTTCTGCTCTTCTCAGGCACAGTTTCTCAATCCCAGCACTAATGACATTACATCTGGAGAATTCTTCATTGTGAGGCCATCTTGCTTCCTGTAGGAAGTTTATCAGCATCCGGATGCCATGAAAAATGTCTCCAGACAAAGCCAGACTCCCCTGGTGGGGATGGGGGGCAGGCAAAATCACCCCTAGTTGAGAATCTGCATTGTCATAAAAAGTAGCAGTAAAGACGAAACATTTTTCGCCAGATATTAATCGTATATATGTATTCAGTGTACACTGAATGAGTACATTTAGCTCACATTGAAGACAGAGAAGGAACAAGTTATTCCTTGCTCGAGTTTGGTTCTGTCACTGAGTTTTGATTTCTTTGCACAGAAAGCAACAGGAAACAAGACACAAAGGAGTAACAGCATTAAGTAGACACTTCCGCAAATGGTTTATCGTGTCACTTGCTAAAAAGTTTAAACTCTTTCAAAGTACTCTGCTCTATTGCGGAGGTTGTTGCAAATCATGGAAGTGAGGAGAAAATTTTCCCTGTGTTCATTGACTCAGACATTCATTCTGAAATTGTGAGTTAGGGTTGGTCCCTGACGTGGGCAGTGGGGAGAGGCCCAGGCCCTGTAGGATTCCAGAAACACCCATCTCTCTTTATGAATAGCTCACTTCCCCAGCATGACTCCTCGCTGTCTAATAAAAGCAGCAAGTAGGATATGAAAGGAAGAAATGTTGATAAAAATATCCCCGTCTGTCTCCCCCTTTCTTCCTACTCCAGGGAGGATGTATGGAGCCGATGACTTTTTACCGGTCCTGACCTATGTCATAGCCCAGTGCGACATGTTGGAACTGGACACAGAGATTGAGTACATGATGGAACTCCTGGACCCATCCCTGTTACACGGAGAAGGTAACAGGCTTTTGAAGAAGTGGGAGGATCTGGGTGCTTTTCTTCGGTTTCATTTTCTTTAAATTGAAGTTCACGTGACATAAAATTACCATTTTAAAGGGAACAATTCAGTAGCATTTAATGCATTCACAATCTGGGGCAATCCTCCACCTCTTTCCAGCTCCAAAACATTTTCATCCCCGAAAATAAAACCCCAGGCCCATTTGGCACTTATATGGGTGCTTTTTTGACATCTTCAGGGGTAATGGCCGTTTTAGTTTTGTTCATTTATAAGAATGTGCTGACTTTTTTTTTTCAGATTACAAAAGTAATACATGTTCATCGCAGAAAATTTGGAAAAGTCAGAAAAACACACAAAAATGCAACCCTGCCATAGTTATACTTCACTGAGATTGGTTAAGTGCAATAAGAAATACCTTTCAGTAGAATAAATGCAATTTTTTAGAAGAAATGGTTTCTTTGATTCCAAGGGGAAGCTATAAACTTTCGTTGGAGAATAATTCCACTGCTGGCACAACCGCCCGCTGTCAGCGAATCGGACAAAGCCCTGTCTTTTGTTTTCATCTTTATTTTTTAAATTTGGTTTTCAAGACGAAAACGGCATTAATTTCCTTTTCTATTTAAAAAAATAGAATCTGCTCATCATTAACATAAAACTACAGAGGAGTAAAATCTGGGCGGTTTGCTTTCGATTTACTTTGTCCGTTCAGTCTCCTTTTTTTTTTTTTTTATAGTGCTGCAATGAACATTGTGGTATATGACTCTTTTTTTTTTTTTTACATCTTTATTGGAGTATAATTGCTTTACAATTGTGTTTTAGTTTTTTCTTTTATAACAAAGTGAATCAGTTATACATATATATATGTTCCCATATCTCTTCCCTCTTGCGTCTCCCTCCCTCCCACCCTCCCTATCCCACCCCTCTAGGTGGTCACAGAGCCCCGAGCTGATTTCCTATGCTATGCGGCTGCTTCCCACTAGCTAGCTATTTTACGTTTGGTAGTGTATATACGTCCATGCCACTCTCTCGCTTTGTCACAGCTCACCCTTCCCTCTCCCCATATCCTCAAGTCCATTCTCTAGTAGGTCTGTGTCTTTATTCCAGTCTCCTTCTTGTATCCACATGTCTTCGTGGGAATTCCTCTCCTTACACATTTATCACAGAAATAATTGGGGTGTTTGTCACTGTGATGCACAGGCTTGGAATAACTAGGACTCTTGTGTGACCTTGTCTTCTTAAAGGGGAGCAGATCGGAGCCTATTCATCCTGGTGCATCCTGACAGTCCATTTCCATGTGTCCCTGTTGGAGCCCAGCTAGACCCTGAGTGATGAATTGTTGCATAACATGTTTTCTCTCCAGTGAGCTTTAGTCTGGGCTTGAGTAAAAAGGCCCATCCACGTGCTCATGGGATTCCCCAGGGAATGCATCATCCCAGGATTTTCCCTGGAGGAAACTGCAGTGCAGTGTCACCCCCGAGTGTGTACATTCGTTTACTAAGTCCCCCGCGCCTGGCTTTCGTTCAGAGTGTCTGACCTCCAGGGAGCCCTGAGGGTCCCCCTTCCGTCCCTGTAGGGACAATGCTGACTCCGGACCAGTGATGAATATCTTCATCCTGTGAGTGAGCCTCTCCATCCCTTTACCTCTCCCCCATTTATCTCCCCTCATCAATATTCACGACGCTAGGCCAGACCCTCTGGCCAGACCCTGCCAGGAGCATTCCTCCCCTGCCCGGCCCTGGGATTTCCAGAAGGGTTCGAGAAGCATGTGGCTCTGTCCAGGGACTAAGAGGAAACATACATCTGTCTCTGTCCCATGCTTTCCTTTCTTCCACTGCGTTATTATTATAATTTTATATGCATCTGAGATTTTTTTGAGCTTCAGTCATATTTAATTCTAGTAAAAAGTGTGCTGAACTCTTGGGGCTTTGGGGGAAGGGCATGCCAGTTTCCCTCAGAAAATTACCATTCTGCTGCTGACAGAGTGAGTGTGCTTAGGACAAACATACACTTACATCATGTGGCCTGAGGGTCGAGACAGCCACTTCCTGCCACCTTTCCCATCGTTTCCCTGGAGCGAGGCACTGCCCTGGCCACTATGTCGGTGACGGATGGGGCGGGTGGCAGTCCTCAACTCCAGGAATCACAGAGAGAGACAAGGACCCAGCTAGCAAAACTACAGCGTAGCCGGCAAGCTCGGGTTTTCACTAGAGCCTGCCTCCACTCAGCCGTGTCCTGGTTTCTCGGCCTGCTTCCTGGGAGAGCAGGGCGGCCCCGTCGGGTGGCCGTGGTTGCAGACCAGGCCCGCCTCTCAGACCGGAGCTCTGCAGTCTGGGAGGAAGAGGCAGCCAAGCAGAGATGCACTGCTGGTCCAGCCCTGCATCCTGCCCTACTGCCCAAAGCCCTCTTTGGTTTGCGGGACGACAGCCCACATCTGTTTTCTGCTGTTTAAGCAGGTAGTTTCATTTGCGGAAAAAGCGTCATGGAATCCCTTTTACGTGCACAGCCCTGCTGGCAGGGTTAGAGTTTTGCAGAAATTTAAACCTTCCTATAATTGCATCCACATGTTTCAAAGTGTGGTCAGTTTTGTGCTTCCAGCATTTGGAGTTTTCTCCATAGCGGCCTGAACTTTGAGCCGTGGAGTCTAAAATTTGGCGTTCAGAGGAAACAGTCCCCCCCCAAACTCAACTGTCATAGTCCCTCCAAGTCCGAGTTCCAATCCTGACACCTCCACAAGCCTCTCTTAAGTATTAAGTCCATATTGGTTTCTCCTGAAATCCTCTGTGTGGCATTTAAATTCCATGCTACTGAGTTTCCCACTCAATCATGTGATTTGTTCATGGGGAAAATATTTACTAAAAATCAGCCACTCAAAGCGCTGTACTCCAGATCTCTGCCAGCGACCTGAAAGCCACAAAAGTGTGTTTCTTTCTCAGTATGAGTCACAGGGGGGCGTTCAGCTCGTTTCCTAGATGGTGGACCAGTTGCCATCTTGAATGTTGTCACCTGTTGACCAGAGAGAAAGTTCTCCAGGGTCTTGTGTTAGCAGCTAAATACTTTGGCCATGAAAGAGATACTTGCAGACAAAACTTTTAAACCACAACTAACTTCCGGTCCCTGCATGAATAAACCACCAATGTCCATTTTCTTTAATACATTTATAAAGCAGGGACTCTGATTCTAATTTTTACAAACCCACCCCCGCTCTGTACCTGGCTCACGGTGGAGATTCGATAGGTATTTGGACAAAGAAATGTCTCTCAATTGATGTGCTGTGCCCATTTAGGGAATTTGTAATAAATGTTTGGGGCGCCCCCTAGTGTTTCTCTAGCACACAGCTTACAAGTTTCAGGAAGGCACCTAATTATAGTTTAAGACCAAACTGTGAACACATTTATGTCTCTCAGAGTGTTGTAAATCTTTTTAACACTCCCCCAAACATAAGACATCGTTCCCAAATGCACCAGCAAAGGGACATCACTTGCTTTTCCTTGTAAATTACTCTTTCCTAAATGTCGCGTTATGAGAGTCCCCAGGGAAGGGTAAGAAAGGGAATCAGGAGGGAGAAGTTATTTTGAAGAATCCATATTGTCGTGAGCACACATGTATACTGTGTATTCCTTTCAAAGTGTATAGTTTACTCAAAATTTAGAAAAGAGTAATTCCTAAAGGAAAAGCCCCAAAGCAGGTGTTGCCAGAAGTAGGTGGATTCCTGTTCCTGTACTAAAGGGTTCTGGCCTCAGAAAGGTGGACCCTGCCGCCCTCACACGCCTCCCCACCTGCATCAGGCCCCAGCACCCTGACCTTTTCTGGCAAAGCATTTTCACAATTGTGCTTAGATAATAGAGATTCTGTGTGTCTCACCCGTTGGAATGGAAATTCCATCAGGGAAAGCAGGGCATGGTCCGCGGTGGGCGGTGGCCCAGGCCTGGGTCAGCCGTACATCCACGGAGACGGATGCAGGAATGGATGGGTTAGGATGTGCTCTCATGCGGTCCCTCAAGGAAATGCACGCGGAAGAGAAGGAGAAAATGCCGAACCGGACCTCCAACACGGTGGGCCCCCAACTGTTGTCCAACTGGTAAACCCCTGGAGAACTCATTCTTTCCACCCTTTCCAGGAGGCTACTACCTGACCAGCGCCTACGGAGCACTTTCCCTGATAAAGAATTTCCAGGAAGAGCAGGCAGCGAGACTGCTGAGCTCTGAGGCCAGGGACACCCTGAGGCAGTGGCACAAGCGGAGGACCACCAACCGGACCATCCCCTCAGTGGACGACTTTCAGGTACGTGGCCGGCCGGCGGTGGGGACAGACTCCTGCTGCTTCCTTTGTCCTTGGGAAGCAGAGCTGGCTCATGGCGCACGCAGCTCAGGGCACCCGAGGGCCTCCCTTCGTCGGACCATCTGGTGGAAGAGGGATATTTTAAACCACCCTCTGACCTTGTTGTTTCACTTCTCTGTTTTCCTTAAATTAACAGAATATATATATATGTGTGTGTGTGGATTTGGCCCAAGTTTTGCTGCCCTTAAGAAATCAGAGTCAAGTTAGGGCAGGATTTCCTCCAGAACGTCCAGCGTGGATACTGCCCACCTGAGCGCACAGGAAGCTGGAAGGAAGGATGCTCTCAGCACAGGTGGCAGATGGGGGACTGGGAGGTGGAAGCAGCCATGTGAGGCCCTGCACTTGACCTGGTCTCTCTGAGAAGAGGGACACCTCTCCTCTTTCATCTCGCCACCCCCCAAAACAGAAGACCCCAGCATCTCATCAGCAGCGTCAGCTCTGGCAGCTGGTCAGGGCCAGAGTTGAAGAGCGAGCATCTGGGCCAGGTCCTGCCTGGATCCCCTTCCAGAATTTTCTGTGCCCCTGAGCTGGTCCCTGGGAAGGCGGGTTCCCACAGAGCTCGCTTCCTAGAGAGGAGAGGCAGGTTGAGGCTATAGAAATCTTGACCCAACACAGGAACGCTTGATTTGCTCACAGTCTATGAAACGATGAGTAAGTCTGCAAACGTCTTCAGATAATATTTCAAAAGTTTCAAATAGAATTGTAAACCCCGACCGTGCTTTGTGTCCACGTGCCACGTGGTGAATTTCCAAGCAGGACAGATTTGCTCCACGTCCAGATTCACCTTCCTTGCCCTTTTTGCCTTTTTAATGCTCTGAAAACACTCAAAAGATACATTTGGTTTAAAGCCACCCATCGTGGAAAGGCAAGGTCAGCAAGGTTTTCTCCAAGATAGGAAGGAGTGTTCCCAGAAATTCCTTCCCGGGCGCATAAACCTAAGGGGCGAGAAGGCATCCTGTACGCCCCCCACCCCTTGGACTGTTGAAGAACCGTCCACGTGTTGAGCGATTTAGCATCCGCAGGCCCTTGGAATGTGGCGACTGTTGGCCATCTGGGGAGGAGGTTCCTAAGGCCACACAGCCTCTGGGGAGAAGCACGGAGGAAGGGAAAGAAGAAGGGATAAAAACGCATCCTTCCACCTCCCCACCTGCCATTAGCCCCTTCCCCTGGTCCCCTCTCTCCATCTGGAGCTTCTAACCTAGAACCCCCAGAGTCCATGCCTTGTGCACACCCCTCCCCACTGGCCTCGCTCACCTCAGAGATGCACATCTTCTAAGAACAGACCCAAGATGGGAATTGCCAACACTCAGCTTGGCTGTAGAAGCCAAAGCCAGGAAGCAAAGCTGCACTTGGAACTCCTAAGTCAGAGTCACAGACACACACATCTGCTCACCCTGGAGAGGCAGCACACCTCACCTCAGTGGTCAAGACGCCAGAACACTGGCGCTGCCACTCACTCACTATGTGGCCTTGGGCAAGTTCCTTAACCTCTCTGTGCCTCAGTTTCTTCACTGGTCAAACAGGGATAGTGTAGGCCTCCTTCACAAGGTTTTTTTTAGGAGCCAGTAAGTACATGCATACCATGTGCAGGCCGTGTGCTGAGGGGGCGGTATGGGAGAGGAGGGGTTGGTGAAACCGGGCATGTGTGTACCCGAAGGTGCCCTCTAATGTTCCAGTTCAAGAGCGTCGGTGTTACCATCCGTGTGCCGGGTGCACTGGCCTTCCCAAGAGCTCTCTTTTCTATCACCTGAGGAAACCCTCAGGGTAACCATGTAGGACCCCCGGCAGAGAGCCCCACTCCCCATTACTCCTGAGTAGGGCGGCCAGATTTCGAAAAGGAAGATGTATTTGTCTTCTGTCTGAAAATCAGATTTAACTGGGCGTTCCCTATTTTACCTGGTAACCCCACTCCTGAGGAAGTAGAACTGCAGAATGACCCAGGGCCACAGAATCTCAGAGAGCCGGGCAGGAGCCTGGGATGCCCCGCACCTCGTCCGGGCCCCAGGTCTGTTCTGTTCCGTGAAGCTGCTCGCCTGGTACTGCTCACGATGCAGGGCCTGCAGACACCCCTCAGCCTGCAGCCCCCATCTCCACGGCACCGCCCTGCATCTCCCAGGCCTTTCCACAGAATCCACAACCCCTGCCGACTTTCCCACACAGCAGTCAGAGCCACCTTGTGTTGGGCTGAACCGTGTGAAATTGCCAGTGGGGGAGGGGAAGGATGGTCAACCGTCCGCAGTATTTCGTGGTGCAGCCTAACGCCATCGCCCCTGCTTAGGCTTCATAAAAAGGAGTGCAAAGCGAACAGAACGTGTGCTCTGGTGTCTACATATGTTAATGTGTCTCCTGCTGCTGACTCCTGGCTCTTCTGACATTTGGTTGGTTTTTCAAACTGGGAATAAAATAAACCCGTCAGATCTGGTTGACACTCTTAACCAGGGATTTCTCAGCCCAGCTTTATGAGAGAGACTGAAGGGTGAGAGCAGGGCTGAACGGACTTCCTCCCGCTCCTTGTATTGGGGATGAATTAAAGTCCATACAGTTGTGCTCCCCACCATCCCGTTTCACATCAGCCTCTTTCCCTGTACTTGGGGGGCCTCGTGTCCTGACCCTGGACGTCCCGGCGAGGCTCACCTGTGAGGCCTCTCCCTGGCGTCCCCAGGCTCACCTGCACCATCTCGCTTCCTCTTCTGACGCCGCCCCTGCACCTCTCTTTCCACCTGCAGAATTACCTCCGGGTTGCATTCCAAGATGTCAACAGTGGCTGCACGGGAAAGACCCTCCTTGTGAGGCCTTACGTCACCACAGAGGACGTGTGTCAGCTCTGTGCCGAGAAGTTCAAGGTGGCCGACCCCGAGGAGTACAGCCTCTTCCTCTTTGTGGACGAAACGTGGCAGCAGCTGGCAGAGGACACATACCCTCAGAAAATCAAGGCCGAGCTGCACAGCCGGCCACAGTCCCACGTCTTCCACTTTGTCTACAAGCGCATCAAGAAGGATCCTTATGGCGTCATCTTCCAGAACGGGGAAGAAGAGCTCACTGCCTCCTAGGAGACACGCGAGGCTTCCCAGTGGTGCATCCAAAGAGCGGAGTTAGGAACCTGGCCTCTGGCTTCCACGTGCTTGTGCTTGCAAAGCAGTCACCTCCTTGGGGTCCGCTCGGTTCAGTGACGGAGCCATCCACAGGCCGACTTGGCCAAGGGCACCTTTAGCCACGACGCCCAAGCACAGTAGCTGAGGTTCCTGAAACAGTAGGATCCGTCCTTCAGAGATGGAGAACTGCATCTGCTGGTTCAGGTGTCCCGAGATCGTTTGCTGCCTACCCCCAGCCAGTTACAGGGTTGGCTCATGTGTATGTATACGTACTGAGTAAACATTTAAGGTACAAGCTCTTCTCTTGAGTTCAACAGCAGGCGTTTGACAAGACTGTCCGATGCAGTGCATCAAGGACCTCTCAGTTCAGTGGGTGCCTCCATCCTTTCCTTCCTTTCTTCTTCTTCTTCTTTTTTTTTTTTTTTTTTTACGAAGAGCCTTTGCGTTTTTATATATATCATAGAAATTTTTATAGCAGTTGCAGGTAAACTGTCAGGATTGGTTTTTAAAATATTTTTGTAACTTTAAGATATTCTATAATTATGCATGTGATTTTAACATTTAATATGCAAAAAGAAATCTCTTGCTGGATTTGAGAGTATTGCATTTTAAAAGTCTCTCTTCTGTAACTGGACGTTTGAGCAACTTTGTGGGGAGAGACTGCTGGGTTTCTTACAGCGATGTATTACTGACACTGGCCACAGAATGCCTTTGGAAATCCAACGTACTGTTATTACCTTGTTCACGCTCAGTGGTATCGCGTTGTTTTGTGTTTTCACCAAGTGGTGCTGGGGATCAGGAAAGAAATGAATGTAGAGAGAGGTCGAGAGGGAAATACAGACTCTAACAGAGGACTAAGGGGTGGAGTCTGCTGGTTCAGACTCCTTGAAGGAAGTGGGAAAAGGAGATAAAAGGAACCACCTATGCTGAAAATACTGTAAATATGCAGTGAGATTTGCAAAATCTGTCCCATGTTATTTGCTTTCGGAAGCAATTTTGAAAACCCCACGAGGGAAAAAAAAGAAATAAGAACACCACTTTTTGTTTCCTTTTCCACATAAATCAAAACTAACAGCATCAAATTATTTTGGGCAGAAACCATGTATTGTGAGTTTCATTGAGTTAAATAAATGCCATTTGGAAAGGAGTTTGCAAATGCACCAAAAAGCCCATCTGTGTTGTAGAATGTGTGGCGGAAGTTAAATTTCTGTTTTACGAAACCTGTTTGGGCGGGGCCTGGGGAGGGGCGGTTTGCACAGAGGATGAGGGTCTCGTATCAACATAACAAAGGTAGTTACAAAAACATGTTATTGTACTGTGTAAGGATGCGTAGTCATCTAATTTTGTTGGCTTTGTACCTTGTACCTTTTTAAGCTTTTGCTGTACATCTGGAACCCTCAACACATACTGTGTTGTACTTCCTTTTGTAAATGATTTTTTTAATGGAATTTTGCACATAATACATTGTAATACTGTGCGATAATCATGTGTGAAAATAATTCTTGAAATATTCTTCAGTTGTCTTTTTCCTTTGAGAAGCAGAATGTGATTTTGCACCAGAGAATGTTATGTAAATCTGGAACCCACGCCAGTGTTTGTGGCTAGATAATCCATAGAGAGGAAACAGAAAAGTTGAAATTTTTTCACCAAGCTCATGTTCTGACAGGAGCAGAAGGAAAAGAACGTGTTCTAACCTGAAAGGATTCGGTGTTATCTGGGACAGTCCTTGGCTTAGTTGGACCAAGAGAACATCACAGCTAATCAGAAGAGCCCTGCAGACACCCCGCCCTGGTCTCTTTTTTTTTTTTTTTTATGTAACCTCTCAAGTGCCCCAGCTGAAAGTTCAGGGCTGTTTCAAAATCAGCACAGCAGAGGCTGGCCTATTCCTGGTGCTTGGCAATGGCTTGATAGGTCCTTGTTGACTGAACGAACTTTCTAACCCGTCAGTAGGATGGATGCTTAAAGATCAGAACTGTGGCTGAGCCGACTGCCTGCTTTGCATATTTACAATGAATTCAGAGTGACAATTCAGTCCCTGTAGTTTAAGGTCATCATGCTCTCCTTGTCCTCCGAAGTCAGTACACTGCTGACTTAAAGCAGGTCACTGTGCCTGAATGGGAGACAGCCGGAGTAAACTTCAGTGAGATCAAAATAGGACGCTAGTGTGAGCAGAAGAAAACATCACAAGACAGCCCCTGGTTTTGTCGTTGGGCAATGTTTCCATGCTAAAGTTACAGCTTCACATGCGTCTTCGCTTTTTTCCCCACGCCAACATTTCTCACTTCTCAAATTGCCAGGAAACAGATTTTGGGGCAGTTTGAAGGAATAAGAGGAGAGTAAAAATATACATGCTGGGTGGAGGGAGAGGAAAATGTATTTCCAAATCTAAAAATATAAAAATTGAATGCCAGCCAGAGGAAAGGATTTCTTTTTTTTTTTTTTTTTTTAATGTTATATGCAGTGCCAAATATTCTCTCCTCGGGGACGCAGAATAGAAATAGAAACTGTTCGAGTAGATCAGTATCGTGTGGAAGTTACAACTTTAGATCTGTAAGGAAACACAGAAGGCAGGAAACCCAACCATGAATGCTTTCATTCATAAATGCGGCTTCACGTCTGCCGGGCATCTCCTACCTCCATCTTTAAGAGACTGGAAATGAGACAGCACTCTGATTATCAACAGCACTGCCTGCTTACTCCCTAAAGTCTGAGAGGAAGGGCTACGTACATGGGACACGGGCATTCTAATCGCCTGGCAGAGTATTTGGTGATAAAATCCTAAAAATCATCATCTTTCAAACCATGCTTGTGATGGTGAATCTGAGACCAAGAGTGTTGTTGGTCATTTAGTGAACCCTGATCAAGTTGGAAATGGGAGAAAATTCACATAACATGGCAGAACCCTAAAGGGATCGTAAAAAAGTCGAAGAGGTGGAGGGAGGAAGATTTGGAGAACACGCTCTTATTTGAAAAAGATGTTTCCCTCCAACGTGGAAGGATGGGTGGCATTTGGCACAAACATTTCCCCCATGGACAGTGACTTTTGTCAGGAAGGTATGCAGGGGAAGTTTATAAAAAATTATTCAGAAAGGTCTGGGCCGATACATTTAATAAAGTAGTACCAAGGGTCTGCCCTCAGACCCCCACCCAGCAGGCACGTGGGCGGCAGCTTTGATTGATCTGAAGGGTGGGGGGACGGGGGCCAGACAGCTTCTTGTCTCTCGATGCTAATAACCTAAGCTTCCAGAGTGGAAGTTGCCTGAAAGTTCTGTACGTAATAGACGTTTAGAATATCATCATAAGAATGAACCTGAGTATTTCCTTCCACCGAACGCAGATCTGCTGTGGTGGATCCTGGACTCTGTCAGCCTGGAGGGGGAGGCGCTCAGGGCCCGTGGCGGGGAGAGGGACAGTGGCTGGGGTGGGCGGGTAGCGGGGACCAGGCAGGGCTCAGCTCTGGGCTAAGGTTTCCTCCCTGGCGTCTATCGGCCCCCGCGGCCCGCCCTCGGTCCCCTGGGGAATACATCACCTCACACAGCTGAAGGCAGTTCCCCCCCATTTAGCTGCATTCCTCCCCTTCCCTCCCCCAGGACCCTGGGGGGCAGGTTTTTAGGTTTTAATGAGCTGGGCGGGCTCTGGCCTTTCCCTGAGGCCTGTCCACAACACACGCTTCTCCAGGCTTCTCCAGTTCTACCGGAGATGCAGGGTGAGCCAGGTGCCGCCACCTACACCCCGCCCACCCGGTCTGTCCCCAGGGCTCAGTGTTCGCTGGTCCTATTCCCATCAGGTTCTCAGCTTCGGCCGCTTCTTCAGCTCACCTGCAGGCCTTTAAAAGCCCGAAGGCCAGGCTGCCCAGACCATCAGAATCTCTGCACGTGGGACCCAGGCAGCGACTTCTACTGAAACTTCCAAGGTGATTCTACTGTGAAATCGGGGCTGAGAAATACCAGGATAGATCAAGACACAGGTCTTAGGAGAGAAACACACCTGAGAGAGGTAAGACTTTGTCTACAGCCCCTAACGCCTAATCAATTACAGGTTCTTGGTCTTCGTCGGCTGACTTCAGCAAAAGACCATGGAAAATGTACTCGTAGCATGGCACTGTTCCATGGAAATAGGAAGCAAGCCACATAGATGATTTTAAATTTTCTAGTAGCCACGTTAAAAAAAAGAAGAAAAACAAATGGGTGAAATCAAGAGCACTATATTACAGTATTACTAATTATTTTATTTTAGTAATCTATTTTATTATTTAACCCATGCTATCCCAAATATAATATTTCAACAATTAATCAATCAAAAACATTAGAGGTATTTTACACTAATTTTTTTTCATCATCTCCAAAATCTTGTGTGTATTGGGCACTTACGTCACGTCTCAGTAGCCAGATGTCGAATGCTCAGCAGCCACGGGTGACTGGTGGCTGCTATGTTGGAGAGTGCGGTTCTAGCAAATTAACTAGGAATGACTTAAGAAACTGAAAAAATACAGTTATCGGTGCATATAAAATAAAACCACGTCACAGCCTCCTCTCTCCACAAAACACACACATGCGCACTGTCAAACAGGCACCCCTTACCAGCCGAGGTGCTGACGGCATCTCCCTCTTGGCTCCTGCGAGAGCCACGAGGCACTGAATTAATCCATGTGACATCTTAGAACCCGGTACTCCACAGGCACATTGAATATTTGTCGCTATTATCATGAGACAATCAACCTCTTCGAAAGAAAATTTTCCACTGCCGTTGTTTGTTTCTACTGACCCATTCACGTTTTTATCTGCTGGCAAGTTTCTTGTGAAAAAAAGAAAGACAATAACAGGTACTAAGGTTTAATATATATAAGCTATATATATCAATATACATATTATATATATATCGCTATATATTATATATATTAACTATATAAATCTATATTTATATGTATTAACTATATATCTGTATATATTATATATATTAACTATATATCAATATACATATATATATTAACTATATATCGATATATATTATATATATTAACTATATGTCTATATATATTATATATATTAACTATATATCAATATACATATATATTAACTATATATCGATATATATTATATATATTAACTATATATCTATATATATTATGTATATTAACTATATATATCAATATACATATTATGTATATTAACTATATATATCAATGTGTATATTATATATTAACTATATATATTATGTGTATATTATGTATTAACTACGTTAATATATATTATATATTAACTATATATCAATGTATATATTATATATAAACTATATAATGTATATATTATATATATTAACTATATGTGTTAATGTATATATTATATATATTAACTATATATGTTTATATATGTGTGTATATATATGTATATATATATTTTTATATATATACATACATATATACACACACACACACACACATATATATATATATATATATATATATATATATATATATATATATATAGGGACGAGATGCCCAGTGTGGGAGGATTAAAAATAAAGTGAATGCCATCCGTTAACTTTGTTGTTGATGATGGTGGTGATGGAGGAGTACAGGTGTGAACTGGGAGGATATTCCCAGTACTCCCTACTGGCCAAGAACATCAGCAGGGCCCTGGCCAGTGGTGACTATTGCCAAGAGGGGGAAAGGGGAGGAGGGAGGGAGATTGCAGGGATGGCCAGAGTGACATCCTGGGAGGAACCGGCTCTGCCCCGAGGGTGGCTACAGTAGCGCTTCCCAGAAAGGAATGATTACTTAAGTAAAAGTGTAACTACAGTCAGTGATTATTGCCACAGCTTTTCCTCTTTTAATTTTATTTTTTACATTCACTTATTCATTTAGATATTTATATATACATGTCTATTATTTAACTGGATTACTCTTAAATACAATAGGCTTTACCAAAAAGAATAAGGTGTGATTTGATGTGATTTTCCTTATCTCTGATGTCTGTGCTTCCTCTTTCCTGCCAGTTCTACAAATTTTGAGAGAATGGACTCAGATTGCAGTTTTAGTCAATTTTATCTTTTTCACTCTGTCTCTTCAGTCTACTGATATACAATCACGCACAGAACAGAAGTGCATCGACAATGAACTGAAAGAATGAAAAATTGCAAAGAAAAATAAACCGCCCAAGACTCTTTAACCAATCAAAATTAAATACACGTGAACTAGCTAGGACACTGGAAAGCTTCTGCTTTTCACAAGCACGTGGAAATACAATACTTGGCAAATTGCAAAATCTCATTTCACAGATAGTTGAAGATTTTGCTGGTGAAAATGCAATCCATGGACCAAGCATAGCATCTTCCAGGAGCTCATCAGAGTCTCAGGACCCTCGCAGACCTACTGAATCAGAATCTACATTTTAACAAAATTCCCACAGATGATCCACGTGCACGTTACAGTTTGAGCAGTATTCGTTCAAGGCATGTTTGTGTTGAGGGCATTTGTGCAGCTGATACAATTAAACTTAAGCTGCTGCTGTTAAATCTCTGGAGGGATGGAGCTTGTGACACTAACTAAAAAAGAGGCATAACCTCACTTCGAACCACGTACATGATCACAAAAGGCTTAAAATGCGGATGTCAGGAAACACGTGCTTTTCTGATGATGATTTATTCTTCTTGCTTTCATGGGGAAAAGAGACCTGAAACGCAGGGGAAAGACTCAAAATGAGGTGGGGTTGAAGACAAATACAGTGGTTTTGCCAGGCATCTTCTTTTACCTCCAACTATGTGAGGCAAACAGAAGCTGAGTCAGAAGGTTCTTTCTGTATGGGCCAGCTGCTCTCACATGTGTACTCGTGTGTGTGTGTGTGTGTGTGCGTGTGTGTGCAGGGACATCATCATGTAGTCTGGATAATTAACTAGTCACACTGTGCACGTGATATTGGAAGTTTATGGGCTTTTTTATTTTCTGAAAGGACAGCCAACTTTCTTTTAAAGGCATTTCATTCCCTGAGAATCTATTATCTACAGGGCCATTTTGCTCATCGATTTTGAAAAGCAGGGAAGATAAATGTATTTGGTGACTAAGGAGTGAATTGTTTAAAACATCTTTGGACTCAGCAGGTGGCGGCTGCAAAGGGAAAGTGCTGTGGACCCTGCAGAACGCTTGCATTCCTCCGGACAGTGATTCCAAACAATCCTGAACCCTCCTATGCTTGCAATGTTGTTTCATGCATGTGGTTTTGCTCTTTTTTTGTGGGGGAAGGGAGGATTTGTTTTTACAAAATAAACACCACATCAAATATTCCCAGGTGTATAATGAAGCAGCAGTTCCTGTCCCCTCCCCCAATCCCATTTCTATTTTTAAAAATATTTTTCACTTAATGTACAATCCTTTTTAAAATTTATTTATTTATTTATTTGGCTGTGTCAGGTCTTAGTTGCAGCATGCGGGATCTTCGTTGCGGCACGTGGGATCTTGCTGTTGCAGTGTGTGGGCTCTCTAGTTGTGGCGCGTGGGCTCTAGAGCTCACAGGCTCAGTAGTTGCGGCGCGGGGGCTTAGTTGCCGCATGGCATGTGGGATCTTAGTTCCCTACCAGGTATTGAACTCCCATCCCCTATACTGGAAGGCGGATTCTTAACCACTGGACTGCCAGGGAGGTCCCCGAATCCCATTTCTGATGCCTCCCCCTCTAAACAACTTCTCCAGCTCCATCTGCCATTATTTATCTGCATATTTCTTTAAAAAATGCTTATACTGTTGCTTATTGATTTCTTTTCCAATATTAGACATTATTTACTGAGTCCGTACTCTGGAAGGTGAGGATTTAATCTTCTTATACCATATACATAGACATGCAATTTTTCTCCACCAGTCTCCCCAAATAATTATATAACATTTTGGATAAATTCATGTTTTTTATTATGACGGCAACGTAAATATTGTTCAGAGCTAAACTATAATGCAATTGTATTTCCTTTTTGTACAACTTTTTGTTTTTCTTGGAGTTAATGATTGCTTCCATTTTTATGGTTTACTTTTAATGTACCTATCACTAATTCATTCTCAACCTCTATTCCACAGCTGAGAAATTCCTTTCAACATGATCTAATAATTCAGAATAGTCTATCATTTCCTTTTATTTTTTTCATTGAGATATCTTTCCTAGAGCTGTCCTCCTGTTGTAATGTGGGTGGGCCAGTTGGTTTCTAGGACTGTGATAGAACTGTCTTCCTGGAAATTCTCCTTACCATTCTACAGAGTTAAATGTCCTATATCCTATTTCTTGGATCCTTTTTTTCTCTTTCTTCACTCACTTCTTTTTTTACTGGAGCACATTATTTAGAAGAATTGAAGGTGAAACGTTTGAGGCTTTTACATATTCTTCTGATTCTTCTATCATTCCTAGTGCTTGACAGTTTGACTAGGTCAAGAACCCTGTTAGAAATTTCCTCTCAGAATCTTTTTTTTAAAATTTATTTATTTATTTATTTATTTATTTTTGGCTGTGTTGGGTCTTCATTGCTGTGTGCAGGCTTTCTCTAGTTGCAGTGAGCGGGGGCTACTCTTCATTGTGGTTCGCGGGCTTCTCATTATGGTGGCTTCTCTTGTTGTGGAGCACTGGTTCCAGGCACGCAGGCTTCAGCAGTTGTGGCATGTGGGCTCAGTATTTGTGGCTTGTGGGCTCTAGAGCTCAGGCACAGTAGTTGTGGCACATGGGCCTAGCTGTTCCACGGCATGTGGGATCTTCCCGGGCCAGGGCTCGAACCCCTGTCCCCTGCATTGGCAGGCAGATTCTTAACCACTGTGCCACCAGGGAAGCCCTCCTCTCAGAATCTTGAAGGTTAGAAATAATGTTTTTTTCTCTTGTCATCTAGCTTTCAGAGATGCTGGTGTCTGACATCACTTGATTTCTAATCCATGCATATATGAATCTCATCTCATTTTATACCATTGGATCGTCTCCTTCCACCTTGACTGTAGGCCCAACCGGAGGACTCACCTTTGTCAAAAGGACTCTAGTAAACGGTGCAAGTGGAGGTTTGAAAAGTGCTTGTGCATTGGGCTGGCCCCTTCTTGCTGCTGAGAACCCTTCCATCACCCTTGTGAACAGAACAAACTAGTTTCCTAGAAGATAAGGGATTGTGTAGAGAGAAGTCCCAGCCATCCCAGGACATCCCAGACACGTGAGCGAGGCCGTCTGGGATGATACAACCAACAAGCCTCCAGCTCAGACCAGAAGAACCACCCAACCAACCCACAACTTAAGTCGCTAGGTTTGGGTGATTCGTTACACAGTGAAAGCTAACTGATACACTTCCCTTCCATTTTCCAGAAGCTGTTAGAAGAGTCTCCTTATCCCTACTGTTCTCAAATTTCAAAGATGTGCCTCGATGTGGATTTTTTTTTTTTCATCAGTTGTGTTGGAGACTCAGATCTCTTTCACTCTCTGGAAGCTCATATTCTTTAATTCTGAGAACATTTCTCATATTTTCAAAATTATTATTTCTTCCCATCTATTTTCTCTTTCTGGAGTTCCTATTATTTAAATATTGGACCTGAAAACGTGCCCCATTGGGTTAACAGAAACTGGTGACTAACAGAAATTCTTGAGCTTGTCTTACAGAACACCAGATAAGGGAACAGCTTGTTAAGAAACCCTCCACTTGTGACCTGCCTTCACTGACCAAGCTCACCTTAATTATTTTTTGGCTCCCTAACTGCCCCCTATAGATAACACCTTTGAAGTAGGGGTTGCTATAGTAATGGGGGCTTAAGTTGTTTTCCAGGAACTTGGAGTCAGCTCCAGTGCAGTTGAAGCTGAGTAAGACTGATTAAGCTGAGTAAGCACCCTAAAATCTGGCTTGTGCAGGTGTCCAGTGAAATACATCTCGACACCAGAGGGCTGAAAAACTCCACCCTCAGATCGTGCTAAATGCCTCCATTTTTTTTTAAACAGGCATCCCGTGGAAAAGCGTGTAACCCAGATACACCTGCGCACAACACCGGTTACCTCACTTTTTCCCTACCTCCAGTCGCCTTTTCCCACACCTAAGACCACCCTACTCCTTTATCCCATAAATATCTCAAGCCCTCGCCTTCAGGGAGGCAGATTTGAAATTTGTTCTCCATTCTCCTTCTTTGGCTGCCTTGCAAAGAAACCTTTCCTGTGTGACAAACCTCCATGTCTTAACGTTTGGCTTGCTTCAGGTCAGGCAAATAAACCTGGCTTGGTAACAGACCTACTAGATTGCACTCCTATTTTTTTTTTCAAGCTTTAATTCCTACTTCTTGTCTCTATGTCTTTTTCTTATACTTTCTGGGGTATTGCTTCAATTATTGAATTTTTAATTTATAATAATAACATACTTTGTTTCTGAATGTAATTTTTATAATATTTAGTTCTTTTATTCCCTGGATGAAATATCTTGTCTGTCTGTGGATCTTAGTTATAGCATTATTTTTTTTTTAAAAATCTCTGTTCATCCCACTTTTCTTTTTCTGTTTGTTTAATTCTGTCTTTTGGATTAGCGGCTGTACTCAGATGTTCAGTGGCTTTTGATTATTCATAGTTTTGGGTGGGGGGTTGTGGGGTTTTTTGGTTAATATTTATTTATTTATTTATTTATTTTGGTTGCCCCGGGTCTTAGTTGTGGCAGGCAGGCTCCTTTGTTGCAGCTTGCCAGCTCCTTAGCTGCAGCAGGCAGGTTCTGTAGTTGCGGCAGGCAGGCTCCTTAGTTACGGTACACATGTGGGATCTAGTTCCCTGACCAGGGATCAAACCTGGGCCCCCTGCATTGGGAGCATGGGGTCTTATCCACTATACCACCAGGGAAGTCCCGATTATTCATAATTAAATGTAAAGCACCACAAAGCTTCTTGGAAGCTGTGTATATTGGCAGAGTTTGTGAACTGGCGGCCCTCCCTTTAGGGTGACCATGTCGCAACCTGGTCATTTTATTGGAAGGATGAAAAATGTGAATATCTATGGAGCTTTTCTCTTGGGTCAGGCGATTTCCCCAGGAAAAGTTCTCCAGTACCCTACTGGGGGTTGCAGGGTGGGGTTAAATCTCACTGCCAGCATTCTGGGACCTATGTAGGGGCAGGGTCAATGTGCCAGCTCTTACTTAACCCCGATTTCCAATGTGGTGGTCTGGAATGTAGGGGACACGGGTTTGATCCCTGGTCCGGGAAGACCCCACATGCCTCGGAGCAACTAAGCCTGTGCGCCACAGCTACTGAGCCCGTGTGCCACAACTGCTGAAGCCCACGCACCTAGAACCCTTGCTCTGCAGCAAGAGAGGCCACTGCAATGAGAAGCCCGCGCACCACAGCGAAGAGTAGCCCCCACTCGCCGCAACTAGAGAAAGCCCGTCTGCAGCAACGAAGACCCAACGCAGCCAAAAATAAATAAATTTATGAAAAAAACATAATAAAAAACATTAATTTATCCAAAATGTTATATAATTATTTGGGGAGATTGGCGAAGAAAAACTGCATGACTACGTATATGGTATAAGAAGATTAAATCTTCACCTTCTGTAGTATGGACTGTGCTCTGAGAACTTGGGAACACAGCTTCCTATGCCTCTCCAGGGAGTAAGGCTGTCCTCTTCTCCCTGCCGTTGTCCCTGCCTTGTCTGAATCCTGAGCCTCAGCAGATTCTGCACTGGGAATCCATTGCCTTGCCCCTTGGCTTTTCGTCCTGTAGTTGTGGAACTCTCAACTTGCTTCTGTCTGCTAAATGAGTTTGCTAGCATCTGTAACTGTGCGGCTAGCTCTCATCGGCTATTGTCTCCTTCTCCATTCTCTTTGTTCTTATGAATTTATGCCTTTAAAAAGTTTTTTAATTCTCTTTTCTTCTCATCTTAAGTGAGGTGTTGATAGGAAGCTCATGTGTGCAGCTCATCTTGTTTCACTGAAACCTGTAGTCAGCTTTTCATAGGAATGGTGAGTGCTTTTTGTACAAGCTAGTTACCCAAACTAAAAATAATTGATTACATGGGTGGTTGGAGTCAATGCATCTATCTGACCCACTTATTTTATAAAGAAATAAATTTTTTATCTGAAGGCGACTACCCATCCCAGCTGTTTCATTGTCAAGCACATTGCTAAGGATTTATCAAAATATATACTTACTGGGCACTTTGTCTTTTCCACTTGATCTGAAGGAAAAGAAACAGAGTAGCAAGGGATGAAACGTCAAGCTCTTTGCTTGTTTAAATGTCGGAATGTTGCCACAGTGAATGATGCATGAGAGCCTGGGTCAGCACTGTTTACAGAAGAGCACATGATGTTTTGTCTCAATGAGCAGGAAGATGTTTTGTGATAAAATGTGGTAAAAGCTTGTCATTTTTTCCAACTAAGCAGTAAAAGG